GTGCTCACATAGCATTTCATTATGTGGAATATTGCACTGAACCAATTTCTTATTTTGGGATGTTATATTATTCCAATTTTTTTAGCATTTTAAGGCTGTAATGAGCATACCTATATATAAATCTGTACATATGTTTCTGCTTATTAATTCTTAATTTTTATTTCTTAATTCTTAAGACTTTTGATAGTTATTTTCTTATTTATCCTTAAGAATGAAGATGACAATTTACACTCTTACCAGTGGTGGATGTGCTTCTTCATCAGATCGAAGATTGGTGGCAAAATGTTCAAGTTTAAGACACTAATACACAGCCGAAACACAAATAGTCTGATTTGTGGACTGAAAGGAGATCTATTAAATTCAAATAACCAGGCAGGATGGTGGCAAAATTGACTTTCTATTTTGAAAATCCAAAATCTAGCCTTGATTTCTTACCAATATAGAAAAATTTCCAACCTTTCCCTTAAAGAATCCCTTGCAGAGTAATTCTTCTGGAGCCAAATTTTTATTCAGAAGTTTCAGCAAGTCCTAAGTTGAAGCCCACATAGATCACTATGCCATAAAGTATAGAAGAGATAACATTGGTTGAAAGGTTTTGAACATGAAAATGACTATGTCCATCTTTAGCTCAAAAAAACCTTTAGCTTCCATGGACAATTTGAATTAGATTGTTTACCTCCACACCCTAGATGACTAAATGATCTGGCCCACTGATGGTCTGTGGTCTATCATTGTTTTCTATCTAGATGTTTTATTAATAGTTTTGGATTTATATGAGTTGATATAAAAAAGTATTAAGTATAATGTTGCTTTTCCATATTGTTTTTCATTGGATTAGTTTAGTAAATGTATATCTTCCACCAATCATCTGCAAGGCGTGATATTAGATACAAATAAATACCACAGTATAAGGCATATTCCAGAAGTTCATACAAATCATGTGGAAAAATATAGCTGATTATCAAATTTATTGTATAGAAAGATGAATCATACTTCAGTTGGTGGTGATTTTATGTAATCTAAATAAAAGAAAAGAGAAAATTTAGAGTAAAAAATACTTTTCTATTAAGAAATCCCATTATCTTTCTATATGTAACAACTCGACTTTTTTTAGAGGGTATGTATTCCTGGCTGAAAGTAGAAAAGAGATCTGTAAGATGCAAAAGAAAAAAAAAAAGCTAAATAAATAAGAATCTAGAAAATAAAATAAAAATTGCTTTACCTCAGAGATTTATGAGGAAAGGAACTGGATGTCTTGAACTTTGTATTTCATATATTTCGTGTATCTGCCTAAGAATTGTGACTTCCTCCTGAATAAGTCATTAAAGACTTTGCAATAATGACCTGGGAGCAAGGTACAGAAGTCGTCCATTTGTTGAAAGATTCAGCATTACACAGACTGCTTGGAATCAGAGACCAAATTGTCTTCCTACTGTAAAGCATTTGTACTAACTTTCTGCTTTCTATGTGTAAACAAGAAATTCTTATTTCATGCTGAATTGTAATAATTCTTGGACTGAAGAAGTAAAAAATGTAATGGTTGTGTAATATTAGTCAAAGTTTTTAAAAATTAAACTCTGATTTACTCCAATACCATAAACATCATGTTTACTAGTGGAGTTTTTAATGGGAAACAAATTATTTGGAAGATTACAAAAGTAAGGTGGGATATAAAAATGATCTTAAACCCTCTGAAAAGATAGCATAGCCTATCATTATTTTAGCTCTCTCTCTATAAATCCATGTAGAGAATAGTTTCTTTGTTTTATTTATACTTTTACTGGCTTAACTTTACCAAAGTGAACAAAATGTGGAACTACGAAAGAACATTCAATATGAATCAGAAATAATAAGAGAAGATGTGGGACAATGAGGGCCTGTCTCGATTTTCAGAAAAGCGAGCTTTTTCTAGAAACCTCTTCTGGAAATCTAGAGACAAGCTTTAAATTCAACTCATCATTTGCACTAACTTTCTGATTCCCTTATCAAGGATTACTCAAGAATTTTAAAAAGCAGTATGTTTAAAATCTGTCTCAACAAATGTCCCAAAGGGCTATTTAAATACGCTTAGCCTTAACTTTAGTTTGAGTGATGGTACCAATAATTCTTGACACACACTTCTTATTCCTATTAATTGACGAAAGTGAATGGAACTGTCCTTAGGGAAGTGCTTAGTTCAGACTTTACCATCCTGCAAATAAAACTGCTGGCCTCGTTCCCATCCACAACTTTGTTATTCCCAGCCCAGAGACCAGAAGAAGCTTCCACTCAGCTAGCAATGATCAATTAATCCCTATTATGTGTCAGACAAGATACAAGGTACTAGGGAAACAAAGATGAATAATGCAGATCAATATGGGAAGAGCTATGCTAAAGATACATAAATAGTGCCTCAGAAGGTATATCCAGCTATGTCTAGAGGAGAAGGAGAGGACTGAAGACTAAGAAAGCAATGCTAAAATTGAGTTTTAAAAGATGGTCAGGAGGGATTTAGCAGACAACAAGGCAGGGGAGAACATGCCAGGTGTGTAGTAAAGGCCCAAATATATCAATAAGAATCCGGTGGCAGAGCCTCATAACAAAGAATCAAGGAATACAAGACAGGACAAAGAATAGAGAGGGTAATAAGCCTTAATCAAAGGTCATTGGTATGCCAATGATGGAGTTAACATTTTTCTGGGAGGATTCAGAGGAAGATTCAAGGGAGAGATAGTAATTGTTCTGGTCTTACAGGCAGAGTAAAATTGGCAAGTGGGTGAAGGAAATAAAGTCATTCTAGTTGAGAAAACTGCAAAAAGCTGGTAAGCATGCAAGGGCATGGCCACCTTCTCTATTTTGTTTACATTCTCATCTTGGAGATCTCATCCAGTCCTGTGGCATGAAATAACATTTTAAGTGCATGTCTCCTTTATTTAGCTTTGAATCCAGCTTTGAATTCTCCCTTGAGCCACCCATCTGTACCTCCAGATGGTTATATGGAATCTCTACTTAAAGGTCTTACAGTTATGTGACTGTTTTATATTCACCACTGAGCATCCGATTATCTTTCTTTTCCAAACCTGTTATTCTTCCAACCTTCCATCTCAGTTGGTGGTACCATCACTCAATCAGTTGCTCTAGCAAAAACCTAAGAGTCATCCTTGATTCCTTTTTCCTTCAGCTTCCATATCCAGTCCATCAGTGAGTACTCTGACTCCATGTAAAAGCACATCTCAGATCTGAACATCTCACTTCACATCCTGAGTCCAAATGATCACTTTGCCTCATTCTTCTTTCTGGTCTCCTTGTTTCTCCTTTGCTCCTTTGCTAGTCATTCTTTATCAATAGCCAGAGCTGTCTTTTAAAAATGTAAGCCAGATCATGTCATTCCTTTCTTTAAACACTTCAATAGCTTTTCCTTGTTTTCTAGAAGTCAATCCTTGCCTACTTCTCTAGCCCCGGTCTAGCTTGCCAACCTCACTTCCAGTTTTAACTCACACCACCTGCTCCACCTGCACTGACTTCCCAGTTCTGAACATATGCAAGGTCTTTTCCCACTCAATGCTATTGCCCTAATAACTCCCGCTTCTTTCATCTCCCTTCATCTCTTCCTGTTGTCTCATTTATCTTTCATGTTTTGATCTAAATATCGTTTAAAAAATATGCCTTCTAATAGTTTTACCCACATTTTTCTAAATCGTCACCATACTTATTTTCTTCTTAGAACTTAACATATAATATTATGTTCATTTATTTACTTGTTTATTATCTCTTGCTCTTTCGTTGAGTCCCAGCTCAATGTTCAGACTTAAAGGTCTTACAGTTATGTGAACTGTTTCATTTTCTCTCTTTACACGCCATCTTTGGTGCTGTTACCTTTCTGTCTTCTTCTCTGTTCTCAGATCTCAGTCATCTCTGGAGTGAAATCACCTTATCTTGAGCTTATCCAATTATTAATTAAGTAGTGAACAGTATCACTATGTGGCTGCTGAGGTGGCAGGCCCTGCTGCAGTAGCTCTGAGTGCTTCTTTTGGTTCTCCCAGGGGTCAGAGACCATGTTGCTTGGGCAAGTCTAGAAACCCTTTAGCTTTTCATATCTACTTTTGAAAAGAGAAAATGTCACTTTGGGGGTGAGGCTAACACATCCTCTACCACAGGTCCTCTGTGGGTAGCCAACCACTATCGTTCACCTTTGAGGTATTCTGTTTTTTACCAGCAGGATCCAGTCTCTTGACCAAGATACAACATGGCAGACCAGAATGGTGAACTGGCCTGTGTCAAATAAATATTAATTTCAATTGCCCGGAACGAGGAGAACCCTAAATAGTGGTTTCAGCCCTCTGAAAATAGCATATGTGTACTTCCGTTTTTCTCATTCTGCCTCCTGAAAAAGAAAGTAAAACAGGCCTAATAAGAACAATGCTTTCACCTTTTTGAGCCTAATAAATTTGTCCTTTATTTTACCACATAAGTCAGAACTACTATATATCACAATCCCGCTAATTTTTTTCTTTTCTTCTTTCCTCCCACCTATCTCCTGCCACTTCCCCAGAAGCATAAAGCTTTCAACATCCTGCTGTCCATTAGCGTAAATAAACTCATGCTTTTAAAGTAAAAATAGGTTTAATGCTACAATTATTAAAGACTGCATTACCATATGATGATAAAAATATTCTTGAATAACAGGTAGATCACTTACTTTAAAGACAATAACATGCTCTTATTGTGGTTCCCTGAAAGTCAATTATTTTAGCCTTAGATTAAAACCTTACGTCTCAGCACAAGTGAAATTTCCACTTCAGAAATTGTTAAACCATGTAGTTTCTCAGAGTGTGTACCTTTGTCTTAACTGTTTTTTTTTCTGTTGCCAATATACTGTAGGGAGATTTTACAAATGAAAGTGATAAAATGCTATTTAAATTTAATCTTTGCTGTATGAACCAATGATTAATGTTAATTTTTCCTCCTTGTTTTTATATATCTATTGTTAATTTAAATTTTATGTAATATTCATACAATAGATAAGAAAATACTGGGCTAAAAAAGAAGAGAAGTGGCAAGAAATGGAAATGAGAGATCTTCAGCGTCTAGAAGAACTGAAGAAATTAATGGCTGAACAGTCAGCAAAAGACAGAGAAAGGTAAAAGAAAACTTTTAAATTGTGCAGTGATGGAGATAGTGAATGGGGTTTTCTATAATGTGCTAGGATAACAATATCAGAGGGAACATTTTTTATGCTTAATGTATCCTTATAGTATTTATATTCATGAATGGATAAAATGATGCTTATAATGTATTTTAAGCTCTCATCTTCATACATGAATCTCTAGTTTTTTATTTTGTTCCTTAGGTAGCTTCCTAGTTAACACCCTCACAGAGGATTTCATAGTATTTGATTGCCCACTGTGTGCATGAAATGATACTGTCTGCTGCCGTGACAATACTTTGACCCAGAAAGAGGAAATCATTATTCAGATACAGGGAGACCCGTTTACTATGACTGAGGTTAGGGAAAACAATACACAATTATACTGTGTTATATGACATCCATTGGCATACTGAAGATGTACCCTATATAGAAAAAAAACAACAAACCTTCGATTTCCTAGAATAAAGTAATTTAAGAGCTGAATAGGACATTTGAGATCAACTAATCCAATCTCCTCATTTTATGAATGAGTACACTGAGAAGTTAAAATCATTTTCCAAGGTCATTGTATCAATCAGGGGCTGTGAGAAGAGATAACAATAATTTGAATAGAAAAATCTTAAGATAAAGAATAATCTCTGTTACATAAAGGGATAAAGAGAACTTTAAAGCACACCCCAGGGATGAAAGAGGGTTCCCATGGAAGAAACAAATATGGAAGTGGGGCCTCTTCTCTATGGTTGGGATTCAGACCTTATGTAGAAAATGTGATTGTGGTCCATTTCATGGTGGGGAAGTTCTTGGATGGGCTCAACCAGAACTTGTTCACAGTCACCAGGCAAGAAGGAAATACCCTACTTGGGTGCAGGAGGCCAAAGCTGAAAGTCAGTTGGTCTGCTTGCAAGACTCAGTGGAAATCTGACCATGAGAGTGCCTCTGAAATTTGATGGGAGACTGTATGGAGTGACATTGGAACTCCCTGGGCACAAGCACCACTAGTGTCTCCTACACATGCTATTAGCAGCCACATGGTAGGAGCAAGAAGAGGTAAACACTGGTACCAGGAAAGAAAACCGATTCCTTCTTCAGCAGCCCTCCAGCACACTTTTCTGAAATATAGCAACATTGTGCCAGCTACAAGGGAGAAATAATTACGTGGTTCAGCTCTATTTTCGTACAGCAGACAATGAAGGGTGGATTTGGAGCTGAGAGACAATAAATTGGTAACTGGCATAGCTATCTAGTTTACCTAGCTCCTGAGTGGATTTTCACAAAAGATAAATTAAAGATAGGTCTTTTAATTCATAACATAAGTCACAGTAAGTTTTCTTTACAGTTAGTCAATGTACAGGAACTAAGTACTTCCTGTTCACTTTTGCTGTGAACTTAAAACTGCTCTAAAAAATAAATTCTATTTAAAAAATGCCCCTTAGACTTATAAATAACTTTGGAGGACATAACCGCTTTATACAATGAGGTTCACTTGTATCTAGGAAGCTTTGTGGCCTGTGGGACAGTTATCTCAAACACCAGTTACAAACTTGCAGAGTGAATCTGGGGTTCCACATGGATGCCAGGCAAGTCCTAAGGCTTTACTCAGTGAAATTCACGTTGTTTTCCAGGCATCTCAGGATTTTAGAGTTGAGTTTAATCTATCATGGAGGAAATTAAGAATATAGCAAAGCCAGAGTGCAAGGGTAAGAGGTGAAACAGTCCGTGAAAAATGAGTTAAACAAGCACAAACCATGATATAACTGGAAACCAGAAGATAGGCCATGCCATGGGTCAGAGACAAAAAAAACACAAACAGCTAAATACTGAAGGGCAAGGCAAAGACGAGGGTCATGAGACTGCCTGGGTAGTCTGAAATTATGCTGGGGAAACAAAATTGAGCCACAGAAATTAAAGGAGGTGGAAAAAATAGAACAAATGTGAGGTCCCAGCAGCTAGGCAATGCTTCTAATAGCATCTCTCCTCATAGCCAGGGAGTTTCTTTGATTACAGAACCATTTCAGTCTTTTGCTTCCTGTCCCAATAATTATCAAGATTAGCTGACTCAGAACTCCAGTTGAAAAAAAAAAAGGAAAATCAGATTAATCTGTATTACGTAACAAAATAAAAATAGGCATTTTATAACATACTGAAAAGATTACTAAGGCCTAAAAACTGAGAGACCAGGGTTTTACTCTTCAATTTTTCTTGAATAGTATATGACCTGAGGGAAATCATTCATTTAACCTCTACAAGGCTCTGTTTTGTCCTTTGTAAAATTGAACTATATGATTTGTGTGTGGGCTAAGTGAGTGATCAACTTTTAAGAGTCTGCAATCTGTATGTTCAACTCGTGTAAAATGTTCAACTCACGTAGATTCAGATAATTATGAATCCAGCTCTCGCATGCCGATAGGAAATCAGCGAGAAAGGCAGTTAAAATATCAGGATGATATATTAGGAAATAATTCTCAGAAAATTTTGGGTGATGTAGATAAAAGCATAGCCTTCATTCTGTGATTTAAGGAGATGAAGTTCAACATGTAAAAATTGCTGGTAGCTTTTGCTTCTGACCAGAAGCAGAAGGTGTGTTCTTTTGGAACCATCCTGACACTAAGAAATTGGTTGATTGGTTAATACACGTTTTTCTATTACTGAAATACAATTCACAAATTTCATGTTTGATGTTATAATCGTGGGCATATTTTTCTCACGTCAGAATGAGAAGGCTTGGAACAGTTTCCAGATTGTTAAAAACAAACATACACACAGCCTTGAGGGTTTGGAAACTTCTGTTGTTTATTTCCTTTTCCTACTTTTTAAGATAAAGTGTCTTGAAAACAGTATTTATAAATTAGCACATACGTTAGGTTGGACCAAAAGAAAATCAGGTTTTTGTGGGTCAAAATAGTTAAACATTGGCAGTTTGATGTGGTTCAACATAATTTTTAAAAATAGCAATTCATTTTATTTATTAATTATATTTTCCTCTCACTCTATTACAATATGTCTTTTTGCCTTCATCATTTTATTGAAATTGTTTTTGCCAAAGTTTCTACTACCCTTTTGATTTCTTGATGCTCGATTTTCTCAGCATGCCATAAAGATTAAGAAGAAATGCTCTAGAATAAAGTTTTCAAATGATTCTATCTTTTATAGCTGTATAAACTTGAGTAAGTTATTTAACTTCTCTGAATCTCAGTTTCTTCATCTGTATGATGACATAAATAGTATCTACTTCAACGAATTGTTGCACAGAATAAGTGAGATATCGCATTAACATACTGACTGCCTGGAACATAGTAAATATTCATTAAATATAAGTGATTACTATTAATTGAATTTTTAAAACGTGAGACACCTTTAACATAATTTTTTCTCAAAATATTTCAGCATTTTAAATATTTTAGATAAAGCATGTAATATAAGGACATCTTATAAAAAGTTAAGGTTTAAGTAAAAGTGACAGTCAATCACTACCTTCATACAGTCTCTTCTCTAGAAATCATTTATTATCAGTTGTTTAATACATATACCGACGTAGTACCTATATGAACCTACATATAAAATGAGTTTAAGAACAGCAACAAAAACCCCATACATTTTATAATGACGTACCATTGTATAAGCTCTTGCTGCCATTACTGTTGATTTAAACAACAGATACTTATTTTCTCAAAGTTCTGGAGGCTAGAAGTCCAAGATCAAGTTGCCAGCATGGTTAGTTTCTAGTAAGAACTCTATTCCTGGCTTATACACAGCTGCCTTCTTGCTTTGTGCTCATGAGGTGGGAAGAGAGACAGCTAGCTCTTTGGTGCCTCTTATTATACACTAATCCCGTGGTGAGGACCTGCCCTTATGACCTCATCTAACTCTAATTATTTCCCAAAGACCTCATCTTCAAATACCATCACATTGGGGATTAGGACTTCAATATATGAATTATGAAAGGACACATTCAGTTTATAGCAACCGCTTGTATAAAAAAGCATTTATGTACATACAATCTACTTACTATTACTACTATTTATTGGTTGCTGCTGACATATAAGGTTTTGTACCAGTTAGAAAAGGTGCCTCCTTCTGGTGGCAAAGTGTATACCACCCCTGCTAGATGTAGACAAATTAGAAAAAGACTCCTCTTCTGAATCATGGTACACAGCTTGACAAGTGGAGGCAAAGCTGGACATCATTCCCACTTATATTCCTGGCTGGGCATCGCTTTCGCAAAGTACAAACTTCAAAACATTACATGGTATCCCTGAAAATAGACCTACCTAATTCTTTTAAAATACTACATATTGTTTATGATTCTTCTAAAAATTAACCGTCTGCAATTTATTTTTATGTATGATAGGAGCTAAGTGTCTGACTTTCATTTTTGGTCTAATTTGATAGCTATCTCAACATCAAATAGTTGATGATTCATTCTTACTCACTGATTTAAAATGCTACCTTTATTCATATTGCAGTTCTAATTATGCTTTTATATACATGTGGATTCTTGATTAGATTTAATAAAAACTAATCTATCTATATATATATATTTCTACATGAATACCATACTGTTTTAATTATTCTGTTTGCTATCTGATAGAACAAGTATTTGCTCATTGTTCTTTTTAAAATTATCTTAGTTATTATTATGCCAAATTTCATTTAAAAATTCCTGTTGATTTTTTACACTGACATTTTGTTAAGGACAGCTTACATTTATACCATATTTAGTCTTCACTCTAGGATCATGTTTCCAGAATAGCTCTTCAGTTCAAATCTTTTCTTAGGTTCTTTAGAAAATTTCATATATTTTTTTTTCTGGCGAAAACTTAGAAATTAATTTGGAAATAAGTAGAAATTGGTGACCAAGAAACCGATTATACATTTTCTTTACTAGCTCTGTGAGAAAAAGTTTCTAAACTAGGAAGTGGCAGTGGGGATGCTGAGGTGACAGATGTTTATGAAGTATTTAGATTAGGTAAAATATGGTGGCTCATTTTAAT